GAGTTATCCCGCCTTTTACTTTATTTGAAATCAAAATTTATATTTTAAATATATTAATAAACGTGTATTATTTATTTTTTTTCTTATGTGATATAATCTAAAGTTTGTATTAGATTTTTAAATTCAAACATTTAACAAAAAATATCACAAGATTTTTTAATACATTTCATTTTATCTTAACTTTCATATAATCACATTCCTAATAAAATAATTAATATAATATTTTTTATCCACATTTATCTAACCATATTTTTTTAAATATAATTAATATCTATTACTACATATTAGAGAGAGGACTTACTTGAAATAGTACTAAAATTTCCGCTTAAAATTTTCAAAGTTATTATTATTAGTATTTTTCTTTGGAAAATGACGGCTGAATGAAAATTCGAATTCAATTTTTTTTTTAAAAAAAAATGTTATTTGAGAAAGATATTGTGTAAACCTTAATTCCTAAAAACATGTCCAATGATTTCCTTAAATGCTACAGGTAAATCTAGCTAATAATGACAATAATTTTGAAAATCTTGCTTCTAAAAAATTCAATCAATCATTTCCTTAGTTTTTTTTAGTCAAACGTGTAAATTTTGTTACAAAAATATGGTCAATCATTTAACGAATAAAACGTTTGAAATCTTTCTGAAAAGCCATGCCAACTTAATTGTTAAATATTTTTGTATCCATATTTATCTATCTACAAATCTCATATTTTATGGTCACAACTAAAAATTCATGTTTCTTTAATAAAGAGTGTTAATTTCAGAAATTAATTTTTGTATTTCGTATTGTTCAACTTAATTGATGATTTTTTATCCATATTTATCTAACTACAAAATCTTTTAAAGTTTAGAAAAATCTCATATTATGTGAATTATTGGTACCTACTTTTTTGTACACATCCAACTTTTCATCTCATATCCAAATTACAGATTTTAATGACCAACTTTAGAAGCGAAACGCAGTGAAGTCATAAAAAAGGAGAATCTTAAATATCTCATATTTATTAAATATATATATATATATATTTATTTTTTTTAAAAGGCATGACGATTCATATAATAAATTTTATCATATATCATGTGTGGGATGTTATTGATTTGGCTGGGGACACTCATTATTATTTAAATATTTTTATATATTTTGTACTTCTTTTATTGCAATAATATTGTTAAATATAAATAATCATGTTTAATATAAAGTTAAAAAATACTTTAAGTAACAAGCCCATCTGTGCATCGCACATGATACGCACTGGTAATTTAATAGTATCAATCAATCATTCTTAGACATCACATCAATTTTAATTCACTATTCATTCGCCTACATAATTTTAGTTAACCATTACTTCGCACAATTTATCTCCTACTTTTACATCAAATCAAATTCAATTATTCTATTTTAAATATTATTTAAGTATAAACTCAAATTCCACGAATAATTTACCAGACTATTTATTTCAAAATTAACTCTGGTTAACAAAAAAAAACTTGTTTTGAACGGATATATTTATATCCATGCACGCCCTTAGACTCCTCTTAGGCCGGTGAAATTCCGGTTTGGTTCGCACGAATGTGTGTGATCTAATGGTTAAAAATTTATAAGGGCAACGCCTACGAGTAAAATCGAACTTCGCGTAATGATGTCATTTTTAAGTTGTTGCAATTTTTTATTTGAAAACTTCTTTAACTTGTTATTTTTCATGCATCTTATGTAAAATTGATTTTGAATCTGCTCCAGTTAATCAAAAATTAATTTAAATTTGACACATAAAGTGGTCAAGTATAACTTTACATGGAAAATGATCAACATTTTTAGGTGAATAAGCATATTTAAAAAATAAAAAATAAAAAAATGTAGCATTCATAATATAAATATGTATTTTAAAAAAGAAAATTATGAGGGACTAACCCATCTAACAATCACGTGGCCTCGCAGCAATGTCTAAAAATATTTTATTATTCATTAGTTTTTATGTAATTTTAGCCTGTCCTTCGTAATTTTCAAACAACAAGCACCTTATTGTTTTCCATGTATGACTTGTATTTGTACATTATAATTTCTATATAGAGGTGTATACTTGAATATTTGATTTATACGTACACCAATTGTGTACAAATTCTTATCTACATGTAACATTATCCATGAATTATAATAATCTATATATATATAATTGCTAGCTAAGCAATAAATTTTACCTAATAAATAAAACCTAATAAATTTTACCTATGTGGCAAATCATTAATAAAACCTAATAAATTTTATTTATGTGGCATTAATACACCCAATCTCATTAATAAGAAAATATTTCATTACATTTTTTGGGTTAATTAAGACAAAAACCATTATATTTTATGTTAATTGATTAATAATTATATTTTTTATTGAATAATATAATAGTTAATATTAAAATTAGTAATTATATTTTATACTAAATAATATATGAAAGTTACATAAAATTATATTTTACACTAAAATCAATATTTTTTTATATGATGAAGATGTTGTTTATCAATAAATTAATTTTTTTTATGTCATAGTAAAATTTCTTAAAATCACATAAGCAATTGTTATAATAAATGTAACATTTTTTAGCTAATTAATTGGTCATGACCACTCAAAATTATAAAAAATATATATTTATTGCATTTTATGCAATCAATATAGTGATTCGTATACAATCAGATCGTGTGTACTATTTATTTTAACCAATGATCAAATTTTAAAATATAATACTATTATATAATTTATAATTTTAATATTATATACATAAATATAATTTATAAGACTATATGTTTGAAATATAATACAATTATATAACTTATAATTTTTATATTATATACATAAATATAACTTATAATATTTAATTTTATTTACATCTGTGCAAATGCACAAGGTCGAATACTAGTAATAGTTTAATATTGGCACAAAATGCATCTAAAAAGGGTCACTAGATAGATATGACTAGCCATCTGCCCCTTTCCCAGCTTCATAAAACCATAACACGATTTGCAGACTTTTTCCCACATTCACTTTAGCAAACACTATTAATATGACTTCCCAACCAATGGGCAATAATGGTTGTCAATATAGGCCCTCACTAACAACCATGAGTCCTCATAAAATTCAGTTAAAGCTAAATAGACAAATACAAAAGGTAATATTTTTTTGTCGTTATTTGCCTAATATTTATTTTTGTCTATTTTTTTATTAATTGAGGTAGATTTTCTAATGGCCCACTAAGATGTTGGCTAAAAATGATCTAATCTTTTAGCTGCTGTAAAACAAGTCATGTCATGCTAATCAAATGTCAGTTGGGATTTTCTATCGTCAGATTCGCTTCGTACCAGTCTCGTACCTACCTAACATCAGGTTCTCCATTAAAATAATGCCACGTGTCATTTTGAATTTTTAATTAAGAAAATAATTAAATAAAAGCTTGTGTAAGTACTAAACTACCCTTACTTAAAAGAAATTAAAAAAAAATGGTGTTTAACTTTCCTCATATTATTGTTCTACCCTAATCACATTTACATATTACAATTAAGACACAAATTATAAATAAATTGCATTCTTTTCATCTACTCGATCTATTATCTTCATCGCTGTGAAAATCATCCTTTGAATGCTTCTATAGTCGATCA